TTTTTAGGAGTATGAATAAATGAGCGCCGTATCAGCCTTATACCTGATACCAGTATCGGTATCAATGCATCAAGTGCTGATTTGTAAATTGTTTGCAGGAAAGACATGATAAATTCTGTCACGTGACACATTATTTTTTCCAGTTCAGACTTTTCCAACAGTTTTTCACGGCATGTATCAACAGTTTATCGAATGCAAGTTTCCATCATGCATATCATCACACGTTTCAAAGTCTAATTATAAAATCCTGCTCATGGAAACCTGCCTAATGTCAAAAGCCAGACCAGGCATTAGGTTCTAGCGGTTTCCCTTGTTGCTACAGCTGTGCACAATTCTCCACAAAGCTCAAGTAGCAGTGTAAGCAAATGCAGTTTGAACACTTTCCGCTGTCAGGGATATAACGAGGGAATTAACTTACAATGTTTTATGTCACACTTTGGTGCCTTTCCGCCTTTAGCCTGCAGCTAAAGGGGAACAGAGTTATGTGGCACAGCAATGAAAATTTATACCTCTTCATACATTTCAAGGTTACGTGTTGATCTGGTCCCATGAAGGGGGATAGAGAACCTCAAACAGAGCTCTTATATGACAGGAAAGCGTTTGGCTTCATGTTGGGCCTGTTCACCTAATTTCTCTAATGCTAGTCCTTTTTAGCTTGCGCCAGGCTTTAGCTCTCATATGTAAAACACGTTAACTTTTGCTTTCGTTCATCTGGACTGGAACCTGATCCTCCCCCACTTCTCTTCTTCTCTTTAGCCCTGCGGTGTGGCAAGGAGACACTTAAGGGCTGTTTGAGACAAGGTTCAGTGATTTAATACACTAAACTCAGCGTGCATATGTAATGTATTATGTATTGTATCACACTTTCCAGGTTTTCCAGGGACAGTTTTGAGTAAGGAGAATGAGGAAAGCAGATATTTCATCTTGGATGTAGAAGCGTTTTGTATGATTTCATTCATCCATTCAGACCGAGTGGGCTTATAACATTGTCCTCTGGCTGGGGGCTCTGAATCAGATGCAGTGGTTTAGCTTTTACCATGACAACACTGCAGTCGTAGCATGTAGTGGTTCAGATCTTTGATGCAGTCAGGGTCAGTGCTATGATGCAAGCTTCCTGTCTTGCAATAACCCCCTGCTGATGTTATTTCATGTGAAGCATGACAGATTCGGTAATTTTTAAAATTTTATCCTCAGTTTTAGTCATATCTAATTCCAGTTAGGACTCCCCCATTCACACAATACCACCAGTGCTAGGGGGGCAAGCACAGCCTTCCTCCGAGTCATGTGAAGCCAGCTACCGCATCTTTTCAAACTGCCGCAAACACATCACGCACTTGGAGGAGAACGCTACCCATCAGTTCTGTTATGTCAGCTAACAGATGCCTGCGCTGGCTAGCATCGCTCTGAGTGATGGGGGAGAGGGAGGACTATCCTACCCACCCGGCCACAGATGGCTATAGCTCATGATCTCCTGATGTAGGGCCAAATCTAAGAGGGTAGCGCTGCTTGGGAGCCCTGGTGAAATGTTTTTTGAATGAGGGTCACATGTTTTCTGTGCATGGCACTAAACACATATATGCATATCACTGTTGTCGGAAGAAAACCTTGTATCTCCAAAATAATAACTTTACAGGAGAAGGAAAAAACACACTTTACTTTTAATGTAAGTCAATGGAACCAGACTTTTTTCCAAGAAATTTTGGGCCGTTTCTTGTGGTCAATTCATCATGAAATTTACAGACAATGTAAAGGGTAACAGGTATTTTCAGATTATGTCAAAAACAGAAAAACAACACAAATGGAGATACAAGGTTTTCTTCCGACAGCACCGATATATAATTATTTTTTGTCTGTGTGATTCACACTTACATTTTACATAAGTAAACTTTAATTGATATAACATTTATGTTACGTTCTTTACACTTTAAAGAGCCCTTTTCATGCATTTTTCTCATCTTTCATTTTTTCCCTGAAGTCCGCTTGTGATAATTTTGTGCTTTTATGTTCCCAATCATCATGCTTCATTTTTTAAATTTACCATTTTCATACCTTTATGCTTTTTTAAATTAAGTACCTTCAAGACCAGTATATGTAAATGATATCTATTCTTGTTGGCTGCCTTGTGTCATGCATTCAAAAGTCAGCATGAATGAGCTCTCTTATACTCCTGTAGGCTTAATATGTATGTAGTATGTAAATGCGCTGTTTTTGTGATATCACAACAACAGTGAGGTCTGATTTTGCTACATGATTTCTATATGTGGACTGTACAAAAATAGCTGGTCAGATCAACTTAAAAAAATTGCTTAATGTGGTCACAAGCAATTGAGCTAGTTTTATTTAACTCAAAAAAGTACTTTGACTGAAAGAATCCTTCATTCAAAGTATTTAGGTTATTTAGCTTATTTAGGCTAAATAAAACTAGTTAAATTTACTTACTAGTTACCACATGAAGTCATTTTTTTAGGTTGATCTGACGAGCCATTTTTTACAGTGTATGGGCTGGGAAGTGACTGGAAATTCTGAAGTGTGAATAATATTTTATATTTAGTTTTACTACATAAAACTCTTATTTTAAAAAAGTCATTTTTCCATAATATAGGCCTTATTTGTCCTTTACACTCACCCATCTGATTTACAAACATGGTTCCTTAAAGAACCGTCCCTTGAAAGATTCTTTAAGAAACCCAAAAGTGGTTCTTTAACGGAGTCACTCCAAAGAACCTTTGGAAAGCTAGATCCTGTTTTGAAAGAAGAAATGTGAAATAACTGAGGGGGCTTTTTTGCAGCTAGATAGATTATAGAGGCACCAGCCATGGGGGAATTGACCACATCTGTGCAGTGAAGACCCCAGCCCATCCCCTGTCTCTCTGCGGTCAAAGCCTTAGCCATGGGGGCCACTTGTGATTGCAGAGAATGAGCAGACATAACCCCCAATCTCCCACTCCAAGCAGGGCTGGAGAAAGTGCTGCATCACTGCCAAATCACACAAAACCATTTCCTGTAAGGCAGGGAAGTGGCTTAGAGCTGCTAATTTTAGAAGCAGCCCCTTGGCCATGGAAAGAAGGAGCAAGATTTCTGTATTAGGCTGCCATGCTCAGATGAAAAACTTTAATGTAGAATATGCAAAAATACTAGTGTACTTTTCATTGATGTGGTTGGCAAAACGGTTTTTATAGCGTGCTTCGTTTACATGCGGTGAATGCTTTGTAGTTCAGTATAGCAGGGGGTGTAGGTTCTGTTTGACTCTGTCTGCCTGCTTCCGCTCAGCAATGGCAGTTTGTCCTCGCCTGGGATGTCTAATCCCTCCTCAGCTGTTCACGAATTCCTGCTGATAATATAAACAACATTGGAAAGAAGTTTAATATAATTCAATTTAGTCCACCTAATTAATGATTTGTCGGTGTAATAACACTAAGCAGGAGATCACTGTCCAGCTGAACTGGACAATAAGACCTAACTTATTTGTGCAAGCCTGGAGGATTGGAACCCTAAATACTAGCTAAATACTAAATATAGTCATATGCAAAACTTTAGGTGCCCCTGATTAAATTACATGCAGAGCACACTTCTGCACATTTTAATGCACAATTATTGTTTATTTACTGAACTTCATATTTTTGGGAAACATAAAACATAAAATGTGGCCTGTGCAAAAGTTATGGCACATTTTATATATTTTTTCCCCAATATATTAAACTCAGCAAATATATAGAAATTCTGCACTGACATTCGCAGAAAAATGCCATATTTAAGTTTGTGTTCTGTAGGGGATGTGTTAACTCATTCACGTTTTTTGAAAATGAACAAAAACATAATTCGACTGAGAGAGATTAAACTTTTGCGTAAGACTGTGTGAAGCAGCATTCCCAGATTACTTTTAGTAAAGATCTAAGTAATGATCTCAGGCATGTGGCATGTGTTCCTCAGTCTAGTTAGGCAAGTTGTTTATGCAGGTGGTGCGGAAGAAAAATTCAAGGAAATTTGAGGCCGTGCCCTTCATGCCAGGCTGTCTGAATTGTGGGCTTTGCTGTAAGGTAACTTTAGTTCATAAAGAAAATCCATAAAGAGCCCAGGACCCCAGCACAGGCCACATTACTGATGTTTTCCACATACAGACCCAGTTGCTACAAATTAGGTATGTAGCTAATATTTGGCAGTGCCTAAATGTTAAACATTTATGATGTTGGCAGCATATTAAAATTGTATGAGAGAACTTTGCCAGTATGTATTTAAATCTTTTGAATGGAGATGAAACATACTGTTTTGCACACAGCATTCTTCATCCAAGAACATGAGCACTTATTAGCCTAATGTTTGCAGTCATCAGCTGCCTAACCACTACTGAACAAGAGTCCAGTCTTATGGTCATATGTTAAAGGAGTGGTTTTCGCAAAACATCAGCTTTGCACAGTTTTCCACTTTCACAAGATGTAGTAGATCAGCCAAGACATGTTTGATATCCAAATTTTGCTAATTTAGTTTAGAACTGGAGCTACGGGGCTAGTGATGCTAACAGACACTATAAGTCAGTAGTCACCCAAAACTTTTCTGTAAATATATCCTCAAAACTTCTTTACCCACTCAAACCACATCCAGGACTTCATTAAAGTTGTGCAGACTTGTGTTTTTTTTTTTTCTTCTAAAAAGAAACAGGCCTAGATGTGGTTTGGGTTGGTGGTAGTTTTGAGGATGTATTTACAGAAAAGACTTGAGTAACTTTTAGTGTTTTTTAGCAACGTTGGCCTCGTAGCTTCAGCATTAAACTAATGAAGTAAAATCTAGACAACACACATGTTTTGGCTGATGGACTACATCTAAGCAAAGTGGAAAAATGTGTAAACTGTTTTCACCATTCCTTTAAAGCGTAAGCTTTGCTGTTTTAAGCTAGTCAGGATCATGGAGGAGAATTTAAGCATGTCAAGTTCCTTGAAAAGTGTTGCTGCTTTTTAGCATCTGCTGAGCTTTAATGTATCCTCCATCTTCTTTTTCTTCCACAGAACTTGAGCAGCAGTCGTCACTCCCCAAGATACTCCTACGACCCGTCCATCTTTGCCTTCCGGTCTCTGAGCACAGCTCCCCCATGCAGCCCCCTGCTCTCCAATGAGGAACCTCCGTGTGCTTGAGGGGAAACGACTGGAATTTTTCAGAGACTAAACAACGGAGTTTGTTGGACCAATATTTTCCTCGTTAAGACAAAAGACAATGTTCTTGTCTTGTTATTTTGCAGGATTTTAGCCTGAACAAAGTCCCTCTGTTGATAAAACAGGAAGTCTAGACAGAATGGCAGAATGTACAGGAGGATCAGGGAGTTGGACGACATTTTCTTGTGCTATCTCACCCTCTCTGGCTCTCTGACCCGATCTCAGGAAATCCCTTTGATACTTGCTACAATGACAAGGCCATAGCCACTGTAGTGAACTGCAAACGACAGAGCCACAATCTAAAGCTGCATCTGATGGCTACAGATGGGAGAAACCAGCATAATTTGGTCAGTGGTTCTTAGATAATGCCTCATAACTGGCCACCTCTTGATGTTTCAGGTATGTGCTTGTTCCATTGCAGTTTTGGGCATGTGCATCATCACTGTTTGGAGATCATGTAGAGCAGTGGCCACCAACCCTGGACCTGGAGATTTACCTTCTTGCAGAGTGTAGTTACATTACATTAATGGCATTTGGCAGACGTTCTTATCCAGAGCGACTTACAGTTTGATCGTTTTACACAGGTAGGCGAAGGTTGTGTTAAGAGTCTTGCCCAAGGACTCTTATTTGTATAGCATAGGGTACTTACTCAGGGGGGGATTGAACCCCAGTCTACAGCGTAGAAAGCAGAGGTGTTACCCACTACACTATACCAACCAACCAGATGTCATATGAAGCTTTTAGTTGAAGTTCCAGCCACAATCTGCTACACCTGCTTCAGCTAATTGACTTACTAAGAAATCTGTGGTTGGCTGGATCAGAAGCATTAGTGTTGGCTAAGGAGGGGCAGCACGTTAGATGCAGGTTGGAACTAAACTCTTTAGAAAAGTAGATCTCCAGGAGGAGGGTTGGTGACCACTGTTGTAGAGGGTCTAAACCAGGGGCGCCCAATTCTGGTCCTGGAGGCCTTCAGGGGCATCTGACTGTATGAGCCAGGTGTGTTGGATCTGGATTCTCCAGGGTGGTAGATCTCCAGGACAAGGATTGAGTGCCCCTGTTCTAAACCAAGAGCATCAGTTGTGATGGAAAAGAGAGACAATCTATTGCATTTTTGGAGTAAATTTTTTTTTTTAAACTTAAGAGGTATTACCACCAGAGTGACCAGATGCCAGGTTTCCAACATTAGGAGGAATTCGGTAATAACTCCAGAGAAGATTTCATACTTTTTAGGTTTGGTCAACAGCCTAATTATTAAATCATTAATGATTTATATAACCGATTGTGTGATCTAAAGACTGAAATTACCTGGTGACTGCTCTAGTGCTTGTCTAATGTGTACTGTACTTTGACAATACGTATCTAGACAAATTAATAAAGAATCATGGTACTAGTCCAGCCTTAGACTTAGCATTAAGCATGCAAATCTGTTAAACAGTCGCAAGTTTGACAGCTGTTTCATCAGACAGCGTATACAGTGTGATGTGCCTAAACTATGCTCCTTTGCCACGTTTGATTGTTTTGGGTCATGTGCAGTTAAGTACCAAAGTAAGTCATTTTCATTATGTTTCATTTTAAACTCCATATGGTTTAAGACGCTTTCACCATCCTGACTACACCCTTCCATTTGTTTTGGTAAAAACAAATAGAATGATGAATATAAAACATGGAAGACATGTTAATGTGTGCAGTATATCACATAAGTAATCACATTGTGTAAGATAGGTTTTGATTAACTATGTACTGTATTCAACAGCATACCTAGCCTTTCGCTGAATGTAGCCTACACTTGTAGGGGTCGAAGCATAGGATAACTACAAGGAACTATTTTTTTGGAGTTGTTATGGGTTCTACAGGTTCCACTTCAAATGTATCCGTGTGAAAGAAATACGATATGCACCTTCAGTTTGGACAGAACGTACATGTTTGTAACATGTAAAAAGCCACTCTTCCTCTTCCCACTGTTCCACTGAGAGAAATAAACGTCTCTTGGCTCCAACCATGTGGACTTTGTAACACTTACTTTCACTCAAGATCACGTTTTTTTGCCTGTAACACCATTTCTTGAGTTGCTTTTCATGCTAACACAACCCTGAGAACTCTTTACCCTCATTTTGTAACTGGAGTAATGCCTCTTAAGCTGGAAAGCCTGGCATGCATGTCGGTGGAGATACAGTTGTGCCTGATTTGAGCTCCATGTGTGAGCCTTCTGTTCCAGCTAAGGGAGTTGAGGCAGCGGCCACTGTGTCCTTCAATGTTTGGGTCAAGATCTACAGCCAAAGACCCCACAGAACCAGGCCCTGAGGGGAGCACGCATCTAAGATCTGGCCAAACTGAAGCTTGGGCTGCCTCAACATACCACTTCCTCATTGATCTTACTTGGTAATGACCGTGTCTCATTGTAACCAGCAGTGAAAAGAACTGCTCACGCAGCTTGTTTGTAGCATTTCCAATGAAATCAAGAGTATTGATAGGGCGTCTGCCCTGTCTTTAACATACTCTACTCTTCTGGGAAGGTTGTACACTAGATTTTGGAACACTGCTGTGAGGATTTGATTGTACTTAGCTTTAAGAGCATTAGTGAGGTCAGGTATTGATGTTGGACAATCAGTTCTGGATCACAAACACGGCTCTGATTCATCCCAAAGATATTGGATGGAGCTCGTTTACTCCAGAGAATACACCACCAGTGCACCACAGCCCAATGATGGGACCTTTATCCCTCTAGCTGACATTTGGCATTGGGGATGGTGACCTTAGGGTCATGTGCAGCTGTCTCATTCTATTAGCAGCCCTTTTCTATAGAGATTATACAAGCTGTCAGTCCATCCATCCATCCATCCATCCACCTATGCATCTATATATCTATGTATACTATATCCAAAAGTTTCCAGAAAAATTTGCTACTTTAAGCTGCATCCATTGCTGATACAGCACTTAATTACACAGACACAGCTTGTGTAATAGGGTGATGATACTTTCTTGTTTTCCAGGATTTGTCTTCTATTTGGGATCTAATAAATATGTTAGGCCGAGATTCCTAACTTGCCTAAATTCTGTGGAATTTGGCTTTCATGTTAACATTTGCCCCATGCCACCCTCCTGCCCCTAATGTCCTCTTTTTTGAAGACCAAAAATGGTCATATAGTGTACATACAGATACATAGATGTATAGATGGATGGACGGACAGCTTGTATGATCTCCATAAAAAAACTCTGCATATAGAATGGGATGCTCTTGAGCAGCCCTGTGATAGACTGGCAACCTGTCCAGGGTGTATCCTGCCTTCCGCCCAATGACAGCTGGGATAGGCTCCAGGAACCCGCTGCAACCCAGAAGGATAAGTGGTTTAGATGATGTGGGTGTGTGTGCTCTTGAGCAGGTGCCCATGAGCCTAAAGGTCACCATGCCTAATGCCAAGCATCAGCTAGAGGGGTTTATGGATCTTTCTACCAAATTGGTTCAAAATCAGAGTTAAAAAAAAAAATAGACTTTTAACTGGCTTGGACTTTAGACTAAAATCCTTTTGCTTTGAGTGACCCTATACCTTAATTATGTTATATTAACAGCCAGCACAGCTTTGAACATTTTTGAACACAATCATAGTAATTTTTTTGCAGAGAATGTGTTTCAGAAGTGACACTTCTTAATGTTTCACACTGACTTTCAGACTTTGGGACACATTTACTTCAAATTAAAGGGATCTAACTGCTCAACATGTGGCCATGAGGAACAGGGATGCAGTCTCACTTCCTGCCCTAAATGCAGGGGCATGGCTAAAATAAAACTCCGCCTATGGGCTAAAACTCTGTGTTTCAGTAGTGTATGTGAAAACGTGGGACAGCATTTTTTTCTTTTTTCATTTAAAATTTAAACATGATAAATGTTTAAGCACCACTTTAAAAGAAATAAAAGATCTTTTAATAAACGTTGGGAAAAAAATGCAAAAAATTGAATGTATTATTTTACATGAAGTTGAAATTTCCAGCAGAGAGTACCCTATAAATGATGATTTCTGTATATCTTTAGCTTTTACTTTTTTCTCAATGCATTAGGTTTAAATAGATCATAACAATATCTAATGTCTGCATATTTCACTGTTTTTTTAAAAGGGTAGTTTGAACTAATTCAGTAGAACGTTCCATACAGGACAGAAGGGTGGATGGATGGATGGATGGACAGGTGGACAGACAGGCAGACACTTTGTAATCTTGAAGGAAACTGTAAAGACTACAGAAGCAACAAAAATAATGTGTGAAACCCATTATTAATAACAACGACTGTTACATAGAAGAAAAAGAACATAAACCCAGGAATGGGCAACTAAAAGTGTCCATCAGTAGTTTGTAGCTCCAGCTCGAACCTCTAACACTGCTTTTTGCCCTTTTATATCTTTGTAAATGGTCTAAGAGCTGTTTCCTGTGTATTCCTTATTGCTGTCCACAAATCATCCTTAGTGACTGGATTTTTCTTCTCCATTTCCTAACATTGTCCCACACGTTTCTCAATGGGATGTAGACCTAGTGATGTCCTCTGGTGATGTCATGACCTAATTTCCTCCACCTCGAACCACTCCCTTACTGGAAATGCCATTTTTCTTTGTCTTGATGCAATATCCAGTCTTTTGTTTTTGTAGCTTTCCACCTAAAAGAAGGGACAGATCTGTTCAAACACACAGTTCCTAAACATCAGTGTATATCTGATGTGCATCTGAGCAGTTCTTTTTAACTGCCAGTGTCTATATTGTTTATCATGAGCACATCCTGAGAGTGTTTGATTCCTGTGTCTATATACCCGCATGACAATGGGAGTGTACAGTATGAACATGACAGTGTGTGCGTGTTTGTTTTTCCTTTCGTGTCTGTGTGGATGGTAATAAGCCTGAGTCTGCCAGCAGTGTAAGTTCCATACCCTCCCTAGAGCCTCACGCTGGTTTTAGCGTAGGCCGGTTCCTCAGGCCTGCCCATGCCAGATCCCAAACAGGGTGATGAGCTGTGTGTGTGTGAAAGAGAGAGTGAGCCGAGGCTGACGTCAAGAGCTCCGAGGCAGTGAGGGGCTACAGGAAAACAGCCAGGACTGGCACAATTAAGGTGGGTGGGTGATGCATGATTAAAAGATACTCTTGAAGAATGTGGTTACAAAAAGCATCGTTTGAAGATGGAAAAACAGTTATTTTAGTGAAGGACGCTCATGCACTCCTGTCCTCACTATTAGAAAATAAGAACGTTCTTTAAGCCCTTAAGTTCATTCCAGAAACAGTTGCACAATGAAATAGCAATTTTGGCCTGTAATTGGGGAATTATTGTAGAAGGCTTCAAACGACCTATGTGGTTATTAGTGCTGGTCCTGGAGCACCACTGTCCTGAGTGTTTTGATGTGAAACGCTCTATTCTAGAGAAACTTACCGAGGGTTTACAGTGGTGATAATGGGAACCAGACGTCTGAAGCATTTGTCTCTAAAAGCTCCCTCACAGAACATTATACGTGAAATGGTTATCAATACACTGCCAGCAAGTTTCTCTATAATGAACCATCTCGCATCAAACCACTCTGAATGACTCTGATTACATCTCAGCCACTGAATTTTGCTGAAAATTTGAAACATTGGTGGATTTCCCCTTCTATTGGTTAATTAGTTGTATGGGGTGTTCTGGGAGCAGAGGAAGCTCTATAATGAGCAGGGCAGCGGTATTGCAGGACCAGTATTGGGAACCACTGACACTGCAATCAAACAGTTCCAGTTAGAGGAATTATAGCGCTACTCATAGAGGTCTAATGTGCAACAACTTGATAATGTGACAAGTCTGTTGTGTTTTCAGTGCACAAACAAATCACCAAAGTGTTCAAAAGAACAATTGCTCCTTTAGTTTTGCATTGAAGCTATGAGGCTAATATAACACAGGACTAATTGGCCTTTCCCAATCCAGTCCCTCCCCAATAAAACTATAGAACAAAGTGTCCCTCAATATGAAGTTACAAATGCAGCTATGAAGGGCTCTCCTGATGAAGGGCAAGGGCATGAACACACATGTAAACTGTGGGACACTCTTGCCACTCTCCAGCAGGAGGAGGAAGCTGCTGTCTCTGTGGCTACAGATTGATGCTTTTCTCGTTTAGCTGTGTTGTCATCGTGAGTTGCATTAGCACTTCACCATTTACAAGCAGCAAGGAAAGCTTACAGAAGAAAAGCCCTACAAGCTGGATGAAACTGGACGTCTGAGATGTGGAGTAAGGTTTTATGGATGGATGAGTCTAAATTTCTAAAGGAATTACTTGGTTTGTGAGAAGCAGAAAACACAACCAACTTCTAAGACTGAACTTTGGAGGTGTGGAAAAATATCCCTGCAGTTTTCTTCGGGAAACAGAAAGCAAGTCCCCCAAAAAGAATGTACACTGTACTAAAGGTAAAGGGTGGATGCACTAAATACTGAAAAATTCAAATTTATATTAGGTTGTGGAGGCGTATGCATACTTGTTAAATATACACTCCTGGGCAAAAAAAGGGCCAACCCCAAAATACAATGGTTCTCATGATTTTGGGCTGGTCAGAGTCCAGATTAACACCCTATAGAGAATATTTGGTCTCACATTAAACAAAAACTAGCTTGCAATGGTTTTTAACTCTTTGAAGCCATCAATGCTGAGTGGGAAAATAGTGACTCTTCTTTCTTTAAAGCCTTTTACTATCTGCAAGCTTACACACAAAACTTTAAAAATATTTAAAGAAATCAAAGGTTAAAGTTGTCCCATGCTAAGTTACTTATCATTTTTTTTGCCCAAGAGTGTACATTTTCTGCCGCCCCCGCCCCCCGAGACTGAAAAATGAATATTTTACACAGTACTGTACATCTATCCATCTATAAGAGGCAAAAAGGTACAGAATACAGACTCATGTGACAGTCTTTTACAGAGCTGATGGAGAATGGCACTTAGAATAAAAAAAACCCTCAAAATATAAATTACGTTTAGATAACCCTACTCAAACAAAAAAATGGCCGTTTGGTAACTACATTGATATTTATTTTACAAAAGAACAACAATATAAAATACACATCTCTAACATTCTGTCCGAAACAAACGAACATTGAAATGAAGGGCTAAAAGAACAAGAGAGAAACAAAAGAGTTACAGAGTTGTGAAGTTTGTGGGAGGCCCTAATCTCCCCCTGGACAAAACAACACACAACACGCTCACTTTAACACACCTCCTCAACGCTGAGTCACACTTCATTAATATCACGTAAAGGGAACACACGTACACACAACGTACACCGCCCCCAACACATGCACTACGTGCCACTTGATTCATTAACAGCTTGCTCTCAATCCCAGAAAGCAGAGCAAGTGTCCAGATGGCTGGTGAATAAACTCCCCCTCTCTCCACTGCCCTTTCTCCAGAAAGGTAACACAAGCCATACGCAGAGCCAGATCCAGCAGGAGGACTCACTGCTCCCATCACAGATAGGCTTAGAGAACTCACCAGGAAGGCTAGTGTTACACTGCGAGCGACCTGGGACAGTGCACTGAGTCAACACTGAGCATGCATAAGCCTGTTAAACTGATCCAGGAGCAGCAGCTGCTGCTTAAAGTACTAATGATAGAAGTGTGTCTATATTTAAAAAAAATAAAAGCCCCATATTCGTAAATGACTGTGGACCAGATAAGAAGAAATAAACAGCTGTTCCTTTTTGACTAAAGCAGGAATTAAAGTCAGTTAGCTGGCTTTGGGCTTATTTTAGCCAAGTCTGTCCATAGGCCTGTCACGATCATGACATTAGTTATCAGTTAATTGTTGCCTAAATAATTGGCTGATTTGCGATTTTGCTTTCAAGCTGTCGACACTTAGTAGCTCTCAACTGATGACAGACCCAGCTTAAGCTCAAATAAACAAACATTACTCACTGCTGCCCTCTAAGATGTTATAGCACCAAGTCAGAAGTCAAAACTTGTTTTCGTAAGATGCACGTGTGCCAAAAACATGAACATTTTCTGAACATGAATTTGCCTGAACTCAACTGACAAATTCACATTTGTTATGATGTAAAAATATTGTCACTGTCGGAACAAAAATGCGTATTTCCAAAATGCTAACTTCACAGAATAAGGAAGAAAAACTCCACCTATTTTTCAAAATTTCTGCATACTTCATTCGTTGAAATGTAAACGAAGTCACTGAGTGGTTTGATGTAATGTCTTTATAAAGACAAAGATAGGAACCAGGGCTTATGATGTGTACTAAAACCATAATGCAAATACAGCCATTTATTTACTGTTCAAAATGACCACTGAACCTACACATCTGAGTTTTTATGTGTAACGTTGATAATGTGTGATAAAGTTGTGGTTAAATCTGAAAAAATAAGCTTTCTTTGGTAATTATTCTGCCTTAGAACATCCTGCATGTTCCTCTCTGCAATGAATGTAATAAACAAAATATGTTTTGTTTTAAGCTATCATAAAACATTTCAAGCATCAGGCAATGCATTCATATCCATTTGGTGTAATAACTTTTTGTGTATGTTTTGGAGGCATTACACTCTTCACCACTGTTTTGAACAATTCTGACTTTGTACGTTTCTCTGGAAGGAAGCATCTCACATCAAACCACTCTGAATGACTGTTTACATAACAACGACTAAACTATACAGAAATGAAGAAAGATTGGTGGCACTCCCTTTAACAGAACTTACCGTAACAAGATTGCCAAGTAATTCTGGAATGATCCATTTATCTTAAACTTTTTAAGTAAAAGGCAACTGAAGTTTTCAAATTGTGCAAAAATGTGAAAAAAAATGGAGACACAAGGTTTTGTCACTGCAGGTACTATCTGATCGTGAAAGCCAACAACTGTGGGAAATAACTGAGATCATCATCTGAAATAACTGTGATCAGGCAATTACATATTAATTGTTACAGGCCTACCTGTCCAATATGAGAAGAGATCAGACACCCTGCAATTAGACAACTATGACATTGGTCTTTAAATGATCTAGTTTACTCAAAAATATCCCCCAAGACCACTTTAGAGAAACAGGACACCACGAATTGTGTATCTTCAGCCCGAACATTTTAAAATCTGTTAGCTCATCTGCCAAACATATTTCGTTTTGAGCCTGAAGCGAAGAAAAGCTAATTATTCTTGAGTTTCTGCCGTCTTTGTGATGCTTTAGCCTTTTCCTCATTCCTAAAATCCAGTTCCACTCTTCTCTGGAAGTGCACTGAGATGAGAACACACCAGACAAGTGCAAACAGTTGGTCAAACCCGTGAATGCCTGAAAACTCACTCTCACTCACAAAGCCCCTCTCATCCACAAAGGGCTGGAGTCTTCTTAATTCATCCAAGCAAAGTTCAAGGAAATGTAGCCATTTATTTTTTAACAGATTTAGGTGGAGTTTCCCCTGTTTGAAAGGAAATTCTCCATCCTGCTCTCAGTAGCCGTACTTGTCGTTAAGATGAGTCCGACCATCACCAGTTTGACCTATTCAAACAAAGAACAATAAAGAGTGGTCACTTCACACTGTAGGACCTTCAGAGGACACACTTTTCACAAATTATAGAAAGAGGCCATGCTTTGTTTGAACTCTGTTCCATTCATCTTTGAGTGGGAATTCATAACTGGGCATATAAACATCAAGACAACAATGAACAAACTTCATAAAACAATCATGAAAGAAAGAAGAAATGAAAAAAGAAAATAGAGAAAAAAAAATATGCATAGTGTCCACTTGGCTTAAACGGAAATGCATGCTGGTCAACTTGGTAGCGTTGACTTTTGCAGGCGTAATCTTGTAACGTGGATGCCTGGGGACATCCATGAGACACTATGAGCTAAATGTGGGTGAGAATCTAAACTTATTAGGATGGAAATAAGCGGAGTGTAACATAAATCAGAAAAACAGTTCCCTTAGCTAACAACAGTGTCGCCTTTTTTGCTTGTGTTATTCACTGCACTCCAGGTGTTAAAACAGCATGGACTACAAGAGTTTGTGGGCAGGTTTTAAAGACCGTGCACTCTTGTTTGTGGTGGATTTCCTCACAATCCATCACCAAAATAATTTTAATAAGTTGTCCCCAGATGTGTATTGTAGTTACAAGGTCACGTTCACATCACGTCAAATCACAAGACTAGATGGCCTCAGGACAGCCGATATCTAGAGCCATGATAACAGTGACCCGGGCAACAACTCAAGGGCCAAGTGGAGGGAGAGGGTTCATTAATAATAGCATGTCCTTTTTTAGGGTTTGCTGTTGCAACCAGTGGCCTGAGTGGAAGACCAAAAATTGTTAAGCAAACAGACAAACCTATCCTCATTTTTAAACTTAAGGAATGGAAACAGCAAATGAAGGAGAAGGAAGTAACACTTTAAATTAGAAGGTGTAGAAAGTGAGAAAACAGATGAATTCACAGAAAAAGATTTTAGCTTTCTAAGAAATATATGCATTGTTGGGCTTTATTACTGCCTTAGTGTTCTCCTCCATTGTTAGCTTTTCTTCAAAAATGATAAGTACCTGGACTGTAAGTTTTTGATTTATAAAATTATAAAATCACTGATAAAAAGCAATCTTGGACCCATGTGTTACACATTCTTGGCTGTAGCTGGAAGCAAATCAAAAATGTTTAATGGAAACTCCTGAAGTATAACAGCGAATGTTCCTTGTTAGTAGATTGCTCAAACAACACTCATTATGGCTATTTGCAGTTTTATTGCACATGCCCTCAAATGTTAAATGCTTATCTTACCATGGAGTGATGAAAGACCATATGGCTAATACAACGGTGTAATGAAGGCCATTACTTTCTCTATTGGGTCAGCTTTAATGTCAGCGTGATCACGGCCTGCGTTCGCATACCAAGCAAAAAGCTTCTGGCTGACTTTAATCCACATTCACTAAGGAAGCAAGACTTTATCTCATAACTCGGTGGCTTTGATGTGAATTCTTTGGCCCTGAACAAATATGCTGAGCAAATACTTGGTTTCTCCAAACTAGTTCCTCCAGCTGTGTTATTCCTCCTCTCTCCTTTCTTTTTCGGTTTTCCAGTCTGGCCTGTCAACTCAGGGATTACCCTGGGTGAAAGAATTTCTGAGCTGGGCAGAAGACGTGTCAAAACAGTGTTTGAAGAGTCTTCAGATCAAAAAATAGGAATCAAGTATGAATGAACTTGCACTCACTGAATCCTAAGATGACTTATGCAAATGAGAAACCTTGTAAAGGAGTAGGAGAAGGAACTGTCCTTGACTCCAGCACTAATTTATGCATTTCCAGAACACAGAAAGACTTAACAAGAGGTTTAAGAAAGGGACTGCTGGTGAGACTGATAGAGTACCTGCTGGAGGCACCCACACGCAGTAGTCAGGGTCATCCTCCGGGTATTGCTTGGACACAGTGCTAGGAGGCTGTGGAGAGAAAATTACTGTGAAATGGGGAATTACAGTAGTTCATACAACTCAGACATAGAAATAATTATTAATATAAATAACAGGGATGCACAATGATGCTGAATCATATCGGCAGACATGTGTTTTGACTTTGTGTGTTTAATGATATAGATATAAGCCATTATTTCAATATAATCAGTCAAAATCTTGGGAAACAAACTAACCTTTGACAAATTACTTCCATAAACAGAGAGGGGGGGGGGAGGCAATATTTTTCTCCTCTAACTGGCAAGAATGAGCCTCTAAATTAATGTAAACCTCTGCGTTTTGGCACTGTGTTCCAGCTTAAATAAACAGTGCAGCAAAACATGAGCCATTTTCACTGATCTCAGCCACAGGTGAGAGGTTTATTTTACAGGATATTCATTAAATTACATGAAAAATATAACTTTGTAATCTCATGCTCACATAATTATTTCCACTAGAAGTCAAATTTTAATTCAAAAAAAAACATACACGTATTCCCATCTGATAAAAGTGAAATGCACATGTTCTACCGGCTCCATTGCTCAGGCGCTTATTTTGGTGGGTAAAAGTTGAAAAACACTGGCATCACACTGCACCAGTATTTTATTATGAGGTGACGATGAGCCGCTACGGTAAAATGTCTGCAATGTATTCATTTGTAACTTTATAGAAATAAATTGTACACGGTTCCATAACGCTAATCCAGGTAGATCCCAATTGCTGTTACATTATATCAGTGCTGATGTATCAACATTGGCAGATATGTACATGACAAACAACAGATACTGGCATTGGCAATTCTCGTATCAACGCATATGCAATGCAGTATATATATATATATATAAAATATTATATACACATGTATATTATATATACATGTATATTATATACACACACACACACACACACACACACATACACACACCTCATGATTTATTTTTGCGGAAAGTTCCTGAAATGAAATGTGCTTTCTGAATTTAAAATGTTTGTGATTTTGTAAGTTGCACCCTCTTGGGAGTCACTCTAAAACAAACACTGCACTAAAACCCCACTGAAACATTTCTGTCCTACAGATTTGCTGGGAATCTTTAAAGACTAGAGAGAGTTTGATTTTGAATGCGTACAGATGTAGCACAAAATTACGCTACATACCCTGCTTGGGCCAATCATCTTCTTTCCACTCTTCTTCTTCTTCTCTGGGTCTTCACCTGGAAAGGATTAAAATGTTGTGGTATTGTCTGTTGCTAAAAGAATAAACACATTCCTTATTAAAAATATTCATACCTTGAGGAGGTGAAGTGAAGCCTTCTGTGGGATGGACAGATTTAGCCTTCTCTTTGACATATGATGAAGGCTTCTTTACTGTTTGTCTCAAAGAATCTTCAATCTCTAAACACACAGATACAAACTTTCACCTTTAGAAAACAAAAATCAACCTGTGTTTACAAATTCATTCTTCATTTAAGTGCCATGAAACAAATAATGAAGTAGTCAACAGTGCCTGATTTGGCAAAGCCTAACACTGCCGCCTTGTGGTCAAACTGAAGAAGTGCACAAGGATGATGTCATTTTTAATTTCAAATGGTCACTGATTATGCAATTAATTATGTCCAAGAGCTGTAATAACACCTCTTAGAAATACTAATCTTAAAAGGGCCAATTTCATACATATTTCTTCAATTTTATTTCCCCCCCAGATTTACATTTTGATTATGCTTGTTGTTATTTTATGTACCAAAAACAGTCATAATTCATTTTTACATGATCCATTTCCAACCTCTCTTTATTTCTTAGAATTAAACAGACCGTTTTGGTTTCTGTACCTTTAACATTACATATACGTAAATTAGCTTTGTTCTGACTGGCTGTCTTCTATAGTTCCTCATTTGAAAAGCAGTCTGGGCTGAAACACTCCTTATAACCTCAGCATGAACGGGCTATAAGCTGAATGGGTGGATATATGTAAATACATTAATTTCAGTTGTCATGACATCACAAAAGTGGAGCATTGAAAACGGGCTCTTTTTGCAACTTTCCATGTATGAACTGGGGACTCGTCAGTATGATTTGAAACTTATTACTAACAATATTCACATACTACTACTACAGCTTTTGTTTCAAAGAAGCAGGGGAAATTTGGTTTCTACAATATAAGCCCTTTAGGGAAACATCTGCATCCATGCATATCATGTGTAGCCATTTAATTGCCACAGACAACATATGAAATCTTCCATCTTCCATGTGCATGAGTTTATCCCCCCTTCTTCCTTAAAACATCCAAAAAATTGGATGTTCTGTGATAACAAGCATGTCTCTATTTGTTTTATTAAACATTATATTGTACATGCTGGTTTAAAAAAATTTATGAATATGAAACAGCACACTTGTGAGCCATAGGCATAGTATCAGCACATAATGTTAGCATTTCCACTATATTTTACCATCAGTGTTGACAATGAACTCTAATTTCACACTGCAGCAATTCTACCCTGAGTAGTAGTATATTGTGATAGTGGGTATTTGAATTTTGGCTATGCACTAACCTTTTGGGGTCGGTGAACAGGCGTCTTCTGTCTGTTGACGAGTGTTAGAATCCTCTTTGTAGCCCCTCTCATCAGACTGATCATCCTCCATATCAATCTCTGTGCTTCCTATCTTCTGATCTTCACTTTCCTCCTCCACTTCACCTTGTTTTTTGCCATCCTCCTCTACCTCCTCTTCTTCCTCCTCCTCCTCTGCACCAGCGGGGAGTTCTTTCATGTTGAAGAGCTCAGGGGGCAAGTTAGGTCTCTTTGGAGGCAACTTCTACTAGTCAACATGAGAGAGTTTTCTGTTTCATTCTTTATATTAACATTGGTCATGACAGGTTTAGAAATACTTAATTTCATATCGACTAAAGTTCATATCGCTGCTGTTGGAAGAAAACCTCCATATCTCCGTTTTTCAGTTTTTGACATTATTTGAAAATGTCTGTTCCCCTTATTTATATTGTGTGTAAATTCCATGATGGATGGACCAAAAGAAACGGCCCAAAACTACTTGGAAAAAAGTCTGGTTCCATTAACTTACATTAAAAGTAAGGTATGTTTTTTTTCTTCTCCTGTAAAATGATCATTTTGGAGATATGAGCTTTTCCTCCGACAACAGTGATATACAGAGTTGCCAGTTTATCACTTTGTACCAACAGTCCTTGAACATTTTATCAGAAATACTTAACATACAGATGTGCTTGTAGGTATGCAGTGACTATGGTGCACCTGCTGCTGCGCAATTTATCAGTCACCTTCTATTCCATCCATCGACCACAAGACCACAGCTGACTAGATAATAACCTAATAAATTGGCAGCTCTGTGTATCGTGACAAATAGGATAGAAACAGAGAAGTCCTCACCCCGATGGTCCCCGTCTTCAGTTTGAATTTACTGCCACCTTTCATCGCTCCAAACAGAGGCAGGGCTAACTTCTTGGGCTTCTCAGGGTCAGAGGACTGGCTGGAATGCCTGAAAGAGAGAGAACCACAGCTACACATCTACAACCACAGGAGACACTTATACAGGTAACATGGAATAAAATGCATAGATAAAACATTGACCAGAAAAAGAGTCAATAATCATAAACTCATGTTACTTTTAGGCACTATCTGAGAAAAGTACAGCAGGAGTTTAAACAACAATGAATTAATAAATCTCTTACATGCTCTGCAGGGAGGGCAGCTGGGTGGGTCTGGTCAATTCAATGAGTTTGTGCAGTCGCTGACTTTCCTTCTTAAGCTCAGCTACATGCAGGTGTAGCTTCTTTCTCTCCACTCCATCCAGAGCTGCCTGGCTGCGCACGGCACTCATAAATGCATCCAGAGGGTCTTCTGTGGAAGAGCTGGAGCCTCCTGGTGAAGCAGACCCAAAAACACAGCCACAGGGTAAGTACACACTTAGAGAGAAAGAGAACGAGCAAGAGAGAGAGAGAGAGAGAAAGAGAGAGAGAGAAAGAGAGAGAGAGAGAGAGAGAAAGAGAGAGAGAGAGAATATTTTCAGCTTCTCACCTTTTCCTGAAGAACTTAGTTTCTTCTCTGTTTCAGCCATCTCTTTTTCCACTTTAGCTAGCTTAGCAACCTTAGAGAGAAGGTACACTGATTATGATGATGGTGTAAGTATGTATATTTTAATGTTATAATTAGGGCGGTCAAACAATTTAAACAATCAATCACGATTAACTGCATTAGTTGTGTAGTTAATCAAATTTGACCCTAAAGAAAGATTTTTTTCCCCCTCCATGTAAAAAGCAGTGGATTTTGTTAGTTATATGAGTGGACAAAACAAGGTTCAGGAGCATATATTTATTACTTTCAACAGTTCAATAACATTATTTTTATTGTTTGAATGCTGTTTTTTTTTTAAATGACTTAAAAAGCCATTTCAAAGCTGCATTTGAATGAAAAGGCTACAATCATAGATTCTACCATAGCAACATACAGCCTGAGAGCAGGTGGGCTTCAGTCTCAACTACTAGATATAGATCAAACTAGGAAAAAGGGTTAAAGGTGTTAAATCAAAAAAACAGTTTAGAATTTAATCGAAAAAAAGTTAAGAATTTATTGTGGTAATATATTATTAATGTGTTAACTTTGACAGCCCAAATTATAGCGTTATCATAATACATCTCAACCTTTATTTAACCTCAGAGAACATTGAGGGTGACCCTTATATGCAACGTTGCCAAGGCGATACAGAAAAAAGGGATTGAAAAAGCATAAAAATGAGCAGTAAACTTGACAGGCCATGTAGTACAGGTTCTTTACCAGTGAGTCATAGGTATCAGGCTGTTCCTCAATCTTGCCAGCCTTTTTCATGCGTTCTTTTCTCTTCCTCTCCACAGTACCCGTCCGGTCCAGGAAAGAATCATCGTCACTGTCATAATAATCATCATCCTCCCAATTTTTCTTTTTACGCTTGCGGGACACTAGAGAGAAAATACAGAGACTAGGATCATAAGGCTACCTACACCTACATAAGCTTTAAACGTTTCATAACAACAGACATAAACCTACACAGACGTTCATAAAGGCTTATTCTGGTTCTAAGTGTCTCTTGTCATCACAGTTGCTGAGGTGAAATGACATCAAAATTGACAAAAGCAGCCTTTGACACATGACGCTGGCTGGAATATTATATAAATATTTATGTAGGTTTATGCCACTCATGAAAGGCTTATGTAGGTGCTATGTGCCCTTATGAATGCTGCCCTTCAATAAAGTGTTACCAAACAAACAGCAGCAACAGAAAGATCTCAAAGATCTGAGCAAGACCGTAGGGGAAAATATTTTCACCAATTCCACCGCACTGACCCCTTGATGACCAAACGTGATTTTGAACAAAGCACCATCTGGCCTTCAAGAAAGCACACCTGCTGCCTTGAGCCTTCAAAAGCACAAAGGATGCAATCAGATGTAAGATAGCCACCAACCTGCTTCCTGTCTCAATAATCCACGGGCCTCCAGCATGCGGCAGGCCTCCAAAGAGCACTGAATAGCTGCCTCCTTCTTCTTCCCGGTGTGTGTGACCTCAGCAACCAGCTGCCTGCCCACAGCGTCGTCCACTGGCAACCTGGAATTAAAAGAATCAGAATTTGCTTAATGTGGAGTAATAAATACACAAACAACACTGCCTTTGGGTTGTCACATAAGTACTCACATTGAAGATAACTTTTGACTGGAAAATTGTTCTATGAAGGTTAAACAGTCTTATGCAAAAGTCTGGGCACCCCAGATCAAATAACAACTGAAAATGAACATCCTTTACAGAGAACACACATCTGAACATGTTAATGCACAATTACTGTTTATTTGCTGAACTTAACATACTGGAAGAAAAAAAGTTATGTAAAAAAGTCACAGTACATTTTAGATTTTATGCTTTATTTTTTCCAATATGTTAAAGTCAGCAAATAAATATCAAAATGCTATATATACTCTTGTCCACTTTTAACTTATTTTTACTCAGAAAATCAACAAAACAGGTCAGTTGACCAGGGGTGTTCAAATTGTTGCATATGCCTGCATATTGCTTACTTTATTCGGCAGAGCCAGGTGCCATGGCCTTTGTCCTCATATTCAAACTCCAGTTCTTCTCCTGAAATTACAAAAAACACTAGACTACAGTCATATTCGTAAACCATCACATGCTATGCTAAACGTATGTGACTTTAAACTAGGCTTAAGATCTACACCATCACCACACACTACCTTCTCTATCATAGAAGCCCTGCAAAGCCTTTTTAGGATCCTTCAAGTAGGCTGCTTCCTGGTCCTCTTGAAACTCTGTGGCAAATGGATTCTCCTCACTCTCATCCTCCTCATGGGCAGCCTCCTCTCCTGAGTGACGGAGGAAAAGAATAAAAGTTTATAAAGTCTCTAAGCTTCACAGTCCTGTAAGATCAGGAATAACCAACCCCAAAGATCATCCTGTGTTTACCCATTCCCCAGGAGCAGCCCCCGTCTTCTGAAGAACTTCTTCCAGAAGACTCCTTCTCTTCATTCTTCTTGTCAGCGTCATCATTATCATCATCATCATCATCCGCACCATCTCCCATCATCCTCTTTTCCAGCTCTTCTCGCTGCTTCCTGGCTCGCTCTCTCAGCTCTGTTACAGTCAGCTCCGACTCTGCTTCCTCATCAGACTCGGGACCCTAAAAATGGACAAACAGAAGGCACAAAACAAGAGAAGTCACAATACCTTTGTTTCAATGTGCAAAAATGTTGGTTCTCTGAGCTTGCCCGCATACAAATTTAAAGATTTTTTTAATTAAATCATATGGCTAAAAATGATGTTTTATCACTTTTTTATCAAAGTAAAAAGTCTTTTGGTTACATGAAAATTATATGCAACCAAAAAAGTTTAAATAAGTACAGTTAGACTTTTTTTTTTAATAAAAGCGAATGCTTTTTAATATCTGTTTGATCTTGACTTCATCAGTGGCCCATTTGTGTCCACAGCACCACTGTCGACTGGATATTTATGGTCGGCTGGATATTCTTTGATGGACCATTCTCAATTTCTTTAATATTTTCAGTAACTCTTTTTAACCTACTATGTACTCATAATCTTACAATTTATTAGAACTATTTGCTTCTAATTGTAAAAAATAAGACTTTAGGACTATTAAATTGTACAGTCTACTTTCAGCCTGCCATATATATATATAAATGAAAACATTTCAGAGGCATTCTTCACATCATGCTAAATTTAGTTGACCAGCATAAACGGGTTGACCAACCTGGAGAATGAAGAGCCTGGTGCTCCCCCCAAATTTCAGAACATGTCCAACCCTCAGCCTTATGTAGGTTTTGGGAGGAATCTTGTTCTTGTTCACAAATGTCCCATGAGTGCTGCCCAGATCATAGACATAGAACCCTGCCTCTTCCCCCACGACCCCCTCCTCTCCGGCCAGGCCACGATACTGGACCACCGCATGGTAGCGGGATATAGAGGGGTGCTCTAGAGACACATCACAGACAGGTAAGCGGCCCACCACGAAGTAACTCTGCTGGGTTAGAGGGATAGTGTCCAGTATGGCTCCATTCTTAAGGAGTTCGAAGGAGTAGGGGATACTGGCCACGCCAGCCCAGGGGGGTTCTGTGTATGGAACAGGGGGGAATTTACCAGCTGGAGGCACTTTAGCAGCTTTTACAGGGGCTTTCACTTTTACATCATGCTTGGGCTTGGCTTGGCTGGGCCTTTCTTCAGCAGCAGGAGGCCTCTCTCCCACTGCAGGCTGCTCTGAACCTTCACCTTCACGTGGAGGCTGGGCAGAGGCTTCAGCGGGCGCCTGGTCCTCTGGAGCGGCTCTCCGGGCTCCAGTCCCGCCTCCCTGCGCGGCTGTGCCGCTCTCTGCCCGGCTCGCTCTCTCAGTCTCCGCCGCTCCGCTCCGCCTGCCCGCTACGGAGGGCGCCGCGAACACCTCGGGTTTCTTAAACGGGTCCACGGCTCCCTCTGAGGGCTCCGAGGGTTTCCCTGCCTCTTCCTTCATATCACAGCCCTCGGTGTCCTCCTCTCCGGTCCGGACCGACAGCTCCTGGTCAGCGTCTGGTCTCATGGTCTCCTCCATGTTTGTTTGGTGCAGCCATTTAAGTGCTCCGATCTGCTGATTGTTCGCCTAAAACAACAGTGCTACTATTAAGTCCAAAACCACGCATTACCGTACTAAATAATACGTTAAAACCAGTATGAAAAAACATGAATAGTCCATTAATTAGTTTAGTATTCCACAAAGCTAAAGTCGGCTTCTTATTCGCCAGCTTCTTGCTCGAATTTTTCCGTTCCACCTTAAATCGCGCTGCAGTTCCATTCAGGCGCCAGTCGCTAGAATATAAAAGCTGCACCATTTAAGGGGGAACGGGAAAATTCAAAAAGAAGCTGGCGAATGGGAAGTCACCTTTTACTAATACTTTATATAACTTCGTTTAACCCATAACGCTACATCTATATGAAAATAAAATGTAAATGATCTTGATTAAGAACATAATTCAGATTATGATTAAGAATCAACGCATGGCTTTTTTCTATCGGTGGTATAGGAACTAATTACATATGTCTATGTAGCTACACGGAACCGTTTAACAGTGTACTCACATGATGCTGATGAGTATCGAAACATTTTATTAGTAAATATTACAAGATTAGCGAATATTTTTGGCTTCCTTTCTCAGGGTACGTATTGAATAACGCCTGCAGCTTTATTCTCCGTCTGTATATTTTTTCTAAATGCATGCAGTTGTGTAGAAATCAGACTGAGCTTCGTTCAGTGCGTTTTTCTTTGAAAGTCTGTGCACATCGGCTGATCTTAATCCACTCTGTCACAGTTTGTGTTTGTTTGACCCATAAATGAGTTTATCTTGATTTGCTTCTGCAAAGTCCGTCCAGTTAGCTGTCAAATGACCGCACTCAGGCTTTGTTTTGGTCCTAATGATGAGCAGTTGCGCATTTAGACATTAAACATTATCTCAGAAGGTTAAAGGAGAATTCCACCATTTTATCCGAAGTTTCTGTTGAATTTAGTCATCGAGATGTAAACAGAGTCATTCAGAGTGATGTGTTCATGGTAGAAAAACTTACAGAATCTGATTTCTTTACAGTAGTGATGATAGGAACCAGCCATTTTATTGTGTAGAATTTTTGAAAGAATGGTGGAGATCGTCTTTAAGATGTGGCTTTAAGAGAGAAGGCTGCTCTCTATAGAGTGAACTACATAGGGAATATAGTAAAAATTTGTACAACCAAAAAGTTGTGTAATGTATTCTATGTGCATCATTGAAATAGGTATCTTCTGTTGAAGACTGAATCTCAAATGGCTTGATGGCACTTAGCTGTATATAATGTAGTGCCATATATTTTTCTGCAACATAGCAGTGCACCAAATAATGAGACAGGTAATGAAAGCTATCTACTGAAAGATTGGATATCCGATAATTATTTCTTCCGTATATAATATCCTAAAGTCTACTGTATCACAAATTGCTACCAACTCTCTATATAGTACTCTATATAGATCATAAAATAAAAGCCTCTACACCCAAATGGGACAGTAGATGAATAAAAGTAGTGTAATGTATTACATTGCAGTCTTGAAAATGTGAGCCATGTCATAGCTTTAGGGTAGATTTGTACCTCAAAGTACAAGCAGTAGGTGCAGAGCAGATACCTAGGTGCAACAGCTTTGAACAGAAAGACCAAGCTTAAAGCATGAGTTCTGTGAAAAATCAAATTCACTCAATTCACCCCCCCATCCTAAACGATTTTGATAAAACCGAAACACATTTGATCCAAAGTTTAGTTAATCTTAAATACTTGCTTATATTGTTTCTGACTCACATGACATTCCAGGATTCAAGATGACTGCTGCTACCGTTTTCCGCTATGAAGCATACTTCTGTCAATTTATATATCGATAACAAAATGTCGTACAGTGTCAAAAGTGAAAATACTAAAGCAAGTCTGAGATTCCTCATCAGTGTGCATGCCAATTATTGCTAATGCTGATGCTAATTAGTGGGTCAACCTTCATTAATTGTTTTCTACATTAGCTCCAGTGCAAACTTAAAAAAGCAAACTTTGGCCACCAAGTATGTCTTAACTGATCACTGGGGTAAGAGGAAAATTATATATGTGATTTTTCACCGAACTATTGCTTTAAGCCCTGGTTGAACCAGCTACAATATTCTCACCATTAGGTTGCTTGTACAACTCATGTGTTATGAACTAAAAAACAGAATCTGTTTGTTTTTTTAGATTGCCCTAAACAGTCTCCTAGAACCAGCACCCCCATTACAGGTGTGAAAATCTCCAGGAAGGATGATGCGCTACTGGGGCGAACTCCCGGTTGCATCAGCCCCTCCAGGCCGGAGCTCTTTTGACCTTCTGCAGCGAGAATTTCGGCAGGTGGAGATGCAAGATCCTCCCCTGCACCAGCCGTCGGCGCAAAGGCCGCGGCCCACCACGATGCTGGACATCCCCTCAGAGCCCTGCAGCCTGACCATCCACACAGTGCAGCTTAGCCAGCATGCCCGACGCCTCCGCAGTCTTCTCACTGCTGCTCAGCTGGGCCAGCAGCCTCTTGCAGCTCTATCTGATGCTCAAGGCCTTCTCAGACCAGAGGATGGGGACCCACTGCCCCCGCGGCCGGTCACTCCAGCAGCACCGGATGACCTGCTACCTCTGGACAGCAAAGCTCCTTGTGAACCTTTCCAGCTGCGGCATAGTGACCCAGAGAGTGACTTCTACAAGTAAGTGCATTTTGCATGCTGCCCCTATGAAAATGAAATGTATGCTGTTGTCAGTAGATTTCAAGTTGAAATGGAATATATTGTAGTATATTTTCAGTATATCACTTTTTTACAGTGCTATATGCGCACAGTATCTCAGTCCATCAGTTGATGAAATTGCACTTCTTATGTAGTCTGACATTACACTACTCTATTTACCACCTAGGGAAGTCTTAATAGGTTTGATCCAGTAGCATAGACTTTTTGCATGTAATTTTTCCATTACTTTGAGTGAGTTTTTTTTTTTTCCCTACTCTCTATTCTCATTTCCCTCACAGAGGTGAAGGAGAGCCGGTGACTGAGCTGAGCTGGCCCTCCTGCCGTCAGCTCCTCTACCAGTCAGTTGCTACAGTGTTAGCCCATGCTGGCTTTGAGTCAGCAAACGAGAGTGTGCTGGAGACCCTGACTGACCTCGTCCATGAGCATTACCTGCGGCTGACCAGACTCCTGCGCGTAGCTGTGGACCGTGAGGCTCGACTGGGCTCCACCCCGTTCCCTGATGTGGTGGAGCAGGTCTTCCATGAGGTGGGCATTGGCAGCGTGCTCGCCTTGCAGCGCTTTTGGCAGGTCCGCATCAAAGACTACCACAGCTACATGCTACAGGTGAGCTACCCTGTCCTTCCAAATCAGCATGACGCATGAACTGCCTGTCTTTTGAAATTAGAATTTGCTTGCTTTTTCTTTTTAGTTAAATAAAAAGAAATAACTTGCAAAGGTTCTGTTTACATAAAACAGCTATTGGCTAATACAGTGTGTGTTTTGCCACGCTGAGTTTTAAGTGTTTTCTGTGGTATGAAGAACAGGTTTTGCCTAAATATTGATTTGACTGCTGTGGGCCTCATTCACCAACCATTCTTAGGAAGAAATATCTTTTTAAAACCCACTTAAACAGTTTTCATGAAGATTCTGACATTCACCAGTGTTTTCTAATTTGGGATTTATTCTCAGGTAAGAACAAAATCCACACACACTCAAGAGCACAAAGGTGCGAACAGTTCTGCAGTTTAAGAACACGTCATGAATCTGACGTAGACTTTTTCTTAGGACCTTTCTCAAGAACACATTTAAGAACACACTTGATATTGGTGAATGAAGCCCTTTGTTTTCCAAACAGGTGTTAAAAGGGAATTTCACTGATTTCTCAAAGTGTCTGCATAATTCAGCATTTGAGAAACAAAGTCATTCAGCATGGTTTCGTGTGAAATGGTTCACTGTAGAGAAACTTACAGACTTAGATTCCTTTACAGTGGTTTTGATAGAAACCAGAGGTCACAATGTCTACAAGACAAATGTAGCTGGTTTATTTACTATCCAAAATGACCAGTGAACCTACATGTGTTTTTATATCTAATGGTAAGTGCTAAAACAAAATATGTTTGAGACTATTTTGCCGTAATTGAGAGGTACAACACCCTGCATATACTTTTCACATTTGTATTAAACACATTTTGAAACACAGTGTCCCCAAACCTTTGACTTGCAGGTTGACTGGGGTTGAGCAGATTATCCACCTCCACATTACTGATTAAAATGACATTTACTGTAAACAGTAAGACATCTGAATCCTTCCACTTTTGGTACCTAGGTTAGTAAAGAGCTCTCAGAGGAGTACGAGAGATTGGTGAACCCAGAGAAGGCTCTTGAAGACTCCAAACCACTGAAGGTTAAAGAGGAACCCATTAGTGACATTGCCTTCCCGCTGAGTGAGGAGCCAGAAGCAGATCTAGCCTCAGGGGACCAGGCCCTCCCCATCGGGGTACTGGGTACATCCAGTGAAAGACTAGCAGGGGGTCTGGAGGATGGACAATCCCCTCATACCGCAGGTACTCAATCAGAAATGTTATTTGTGATGGAGTTATGAATTGCTTATCCTTAACAGGCCTCTGTATTTGTAAAATCTTAAATATATACAGTTGAGTTTACAGATGGTGTATCACCAGGACAGAAATTAGAACTAAGATTAGGGGTTTTTTTACAGTATGGACAAATAGTATATTGCGATTATGTTGCCACTTATTGGTATTACAGTATGTCTTGCCATATCTTAAAAACACATTAGTGAACCCTTGATGGAACACCATCCATGGAATACGTATCTAGAATCTTATAGATGCTCACAACACACACAAAACATTTACTGATTTCTTAGAAGGCTTATTTGGCTATTGCAGTATTATGCCAAGGCATATATAGTGGTAATGATTAACAGTTTTTAATGCAACTTTGCCATGGCAACTTATGCTGCACATCTAACATGCTCCAGGGCCAGTTCAGCATTTCAGATCGTAAACACCTCTTGGAGCAATCAGGGTCAAGCTTCTGACTAATCAGAGACCTCTGCCATTGGGGAGCTTTTCGGG